TCCCTCCCTCCCTTCCTCCCGCGCCTTCCCTCCTTCCCTCCCTCTCCTCCCTCCCCTCTTACCTCGCTTTCCCTCCTTCCCTCTCCTTCCTTCCTCCGACCTTGCAACTGATCATATCTGGTCAGTCCACAGAAGATAGAATAGTATGAATAACGTCTTTGAAGCCAATAAAATGTCTTGTTTTTGACCCCAGTTGATTATTTTGTTCTTACTATTATCATTAGTATTATTGTTATTATGGTTATTATCATAATGGCAATAATAATGATAATTATCATATTGTTATATTGTTATTGTTATCATCATAAATTTATGATTTTTTTTAATCATCATTATTAATTATAATGATAATAATGATAATAATAGTAATGATAATGATGATATAATAATAATAATGATAATAATAAGATAATATATAGTATAATAATAGATGATAATAATAATGATAATAACTAAGAATAAGCTAAAGTAAAAATGACTTTGATAACAATGATAACAATAATAATGAACAACACAACGATAGAGTGACCATGACAATAACAAATCAAATAACGATAACAACAACAACAATAACAATAAGCCCCCTTTTCCTCAATTGCCCCTCAACAACATGACCAAAATCCCACCACCTGACCTGCTTTCAGCGACCCGGACGTACCCGCTCACCTGGTGCCCGAGTTGACCTAGTAAGACCTGCGGAACTCGGCTTTGACCTCCTGTGGCTCGGCGAGGAGACCGTGCGAGTGCATGACCTGCCTGGCAAGGTCTGGGAGCCCTGTTTTGTTGCCTGGATTGCAGACCGCTGCATGTGTAGGTTGTGTGTGTATGTGTATATATGTATATATGTTGTATTATATATATATATATATATATATTATATATATATATATATTATATATATATATATATAATGTACAACACACCACAAACACACACACACACACACACACACACACAACACACACACACAGCACACAGTCACACCATATAATATATATATATATATATATATATATTATATATATATATATATATATATAGTATATAGTATTATATATATATATATATATGTATAAATATATATATATATATATATATTGTATATATTATATTATATAATATAGTATATATATATATATATATATATATATATATATACTATATATATAACTATATAGGCATGGTAGACATATACAGAAAGATGAGCATATAGATAAGGATGTATGATAATGATAATATAGTGATCGGCGATGGTGATAGTAATGATAATACTAATAATAATAATAACAATGATAATGATGATAATGATAATGATAGTAATGATAATGATAAAAAATGATAATAATGACAGTGGTAATAACTCAATCAATAATAATAGTAACAATAGAATAAATATAATGATGATAAATAATAATGGATAATAATAATAATGTAAATTAATTCTAATGATAATAAGGCAATAATGATAATAGGAATGATGAACAATGATAATAATAAGGATTAAGAATAATGAATAATAATTATTACAATGGTCAGCAATAAAATAATGGTGATAATAATAATGATAATATAATAAAGATGATGATATGAATGACGGGAACAGATAAACAAACAAAGCAATTAAGATGCATTAGATAATAGTTATATAGAGATAGATAGAAAGAAATTATAAAATATAAGCAAATAAATAGATTAATATAATACTCTCTACACTTGAAATTTGAAAAAAAAGCTTATATGCTCGCGAAAACATAAAAAAGAAATAAAGTAAAATAAAAAAGGACAAGTAATAAGCCCCTCTGGTTATAATGTGTATTATAAAAAGATCTTCCATACTCATATCCTTTATTGAAAAGAAAAAGAAGAAAAAAAAAAGAGGAGGAGAGGTGGGGGAAGGAGGAGGAGGGTGATTATGATGATGAGGAGGAGGGTGAGGAGGAGGAAGAAGAGGAGGAGGATCGAGAGGAGGAGGAGGAGGAGGAGGAAGGAGGAAGAGGAAAGGAGGAAGGAGGAAGAGAGAGGAGGAGGAGGAGGAGGGAGGTGGGGGAGGAGAGGGGAGGAGGAGGAGGCGGAGGTGGGGGAGGGGAGGATGGAGGAGGAAGAAGAAGATGAGAAGGAGGAGGAGAAGATGAAAAAGGACAAGAAAAATATAAAAAGAGAAGAAAAGGAAAAAAAAAGAATAAAAAAGTATAAAAGGAGTCAATGACTTTGATATGAAATAACCTTTTTAAAAAACTCCTAATTATTACTCCCTACAACGAACAGTAATTACGAACTCTAATTACACAACCTCTCTGTACATTGCAAAAAATAGAGAAAAAAAAAAATAAAAGAAAAAATCACGGAAGAACATCACCACTTCAGAACCGATTCCGTAATAGAAGTTCTGAAAAAAAAAAAAAAATAAAATAATAATCTTTCATCATTATAACCTCCTCTTAAGAAACACTGCAACCTCTGTACTTCTTGCGCTGTTATTTAAAAAAAGAAAAAATAGAAAAAAAAATTGCAACCTCTGTACTTCTTGCGCTGTTATTTAAAAAAAAAAGAAAATAAAAAAAAAAGATGTTAATCAGATATTCTTGCTCCTTGGTTATTTTTGGGGGGGGGCGGGAGGGGGAGGGGAGGGGGGGAGGGAGGAAGAGAGGAGGGGAGGGAGGGGGGTCTCTCGAATTCGGCTATTGTCAGCTGTTGTCTAGAGGACTTGTCTTTTTATCGTCTGAGTCCAATATAAAGACACACACACACACACACACACAACACACACACACACACACACACACACACACACACACACACACACATATATATATATATATATATATATATATATATATATACATAATATATATATATATATAATATATATATATATATATATATATATATATATGTGTGTGTGTGTGTGTGTGTGTGTGTGTGTGTGTGTGTGTGTGGTGTGTGTGTGTGTGTATGTGTGTGTGTGTGTGTGTGTGTGTGTGTGTGTGTGTGTGTGTGTGTGTGTGTGTGTGTGTGTGTGTGTGTGTGGTGTGTGTGTGTGTGGTGTGTGTGTGTTTTATGTCTTTACATTCTAAACCCACGTAAATTCTCATTTTCGAAAACTAGTTTTATTATCTTTTTTATGTAAGAAATAAACATATTTCTCCCGGCTTGTAGTTCTGTTTGTTTGTTTGTCTGTTTTTATCTTCTTCCACTCTTTTAATTCTCATTTATCTTCAGTCCATTGGCCTTGACATTATTATCAATATTTTTTCTGTCTTTGGCACTTAAGAGCACGACAAAATAACGTGTTTATTCACCACATACGTAAGACACAATCTACATCTTCATAATGATAAATGCAATAATTATCTTTTTCATCATTATCATCATCTTATTACTAGCATTACTAGCAGGAACAGTTACCGGTGTCCTAGTGGTATCATCAGTATCATTACTGTTAGGATTATCACTGTCAGTATTATTCTCAGTATTATTGTTGTCAGTATTATTGTCATTGATGTTATTGTCAGTCTTTTTATTGTCAGCATTATCATTGTCAGTCTTATTATTGTCAGCATTATCATTGTCTGTATCATTCTCATCATAATAATTGTCAGTATTACAATTATCATTATCCTTCCTGTTTTACTACTATTACTTCTGGTGTACAGTAATACAATTATCAAAAGAGAGAGCAAAACGGAATTTTTGATATTGCTCATGATGGCTCTATAGATATGGTGATTGAGAGAGAGAGAGAGAGAGTGTGTGTGTGTGTGTGTGTGTGAGAGAGAGAAGAGAGAGAGAGAGAGAGAGAGAGAGAGAGAGAGAGAGAGAGAGAGAGAGAGAGAGAAGAGAGAGAGAGAGAGAGAGAGAGAGAGAGAGAGAGAGGGAGTGAGAGAGAATGAGAGAGAGAGAGAGAGAGAGAGAGAGAGAGAGAGAGAGAGAGAGAGAGAGAGAGAGAGAGAGAGAGAGAGAGAGAGAGAGAGAGAGAGAGAGAGAGAGAGAGAGAAGATTAAAGGAAGAGGAATAAAGACAGATATGAAAGAAAGAGAGAGAGAGAGAGAGAGAGAGAGGAGAGATGAAATAGAAGGAGAGAGACAGGCAAACAGACAGACAGAGAAACACACAGACAGACACACAGGCTCAAAGACAGACACAGAGACACACAGGGACAAAGAGCACAGAACCAGAGATAGAGTCAGAAAAAAAGTAAAAGGAGATAAGACAAATAAAAATCATTTAAAAAAATCAATCAATTAAATCCTGATAAAACCAGAAATGAAATCAATTCAAAATCACAATTAAAATCTACCCAAGAATCCTTTTTTAAAAATATTTTCTTCGCCATTTTTGTAAATCATTTACATACGAACGCCAATCTATATAATTAATTCAACTTAGTGCCTGTGGTATATATAGATATCTTTTTATAGTTCAAAAAACAGCTGTTATATCTATGGCGCAGTAGTTCGAACCATCATTAATTTTCTCCTTTTTAGTCATAGCGAAAAGGAAAGGCAGATCACATTTGTCATATGACTCAATTCGTATGGAGAGAGAGAGAGAGAGAGAGAGAGAGAGAGAGAGAGAGAGAGAGAGAGAGGAGAGAGAGAGAGAGAGAGAGAGAGAGAGAGAGAGAGAGAGAGAGAGAGGGAAGGGAGAGAGTGTGGTTTGAAAGTATGAAGGGAAGGTTTGAGGGGGAAGGAGAGGGGTGGAGGAGGGGGTGGGGGGGGGGGGGGTTATAGCAGCGCTGGCAAAAGCGCTTCCTGTCTGGATCCCCGTTTGAAGAGCCCGCCCCGTGACGTCATTGCACGGGTTGAGCTGTGACTGGCTGGACCAATCGATTGAGACGCATCCTACGACAAACTCATGTCCCTTTATGAAAAATCGATGTGGCAATCCATGTCGTTATTTTCGGCACGCTGATCGACCCCTGGAGAGGCGAATCCGGGATTAATGAGGTGGGAGCTAAGTGTTGGGGAAATAAAGGGCGGCGTGTCTCTGGGCGGCTGGCGTGCACGGGAGGCGAGGCCCCGCCCACGGAACCGCCGAAGAATAACGTGGTCTCGCGGCGCGGACGACTAGTCACCTCTGAGCTCGCGTCAGTGTGTGATCTCCACCCGGCGCTCTGTCCCGACCCGTCCCCGCTGCCGGTGTGATTGTGAGAACTCTTCGGCTTTGAAACTGTGACTGTGTGACGTGTAGCGTGTAGTAGGAGCGGTACAGACATGGCCCCTCAGGCCCCCGAACAGAGCAAGGCGCCGGACCTCCTGGAGGAGGAGCAGCCGCACCACCACCACAACTTGGAGGAGCGCGAAATTCATATAGATCTACGGAAAATTTACGCCGACCTTCGCAACCTGGACTGGTCCAAGGTGGTGTGGCGGAACGTGACGCTGTTCGCCCTGCTCCACTTCTACAGCGTGTACGGCCTGTACTTGGCGCTGTTCTCGGTGCAGTGGAAGACCATCGCCTTCAGCGTGGTGCTGTACTTCATGGCTGCGCTGGGCATCACCATGGGCGCGCACCGCCTGTGGTCGCACCGCTCGTTCAAGGCGTCGCTGCCGCTCCGCATCGTGCTCGCCATCTTCCAGACGATCGCCTTCCAGAACGACATCTACGAGTGGGCGCGCGACCACCGCGTGCACCACAAGTACAGCGAGACGGACGCCGACCCGCACAACGCCCGCCGCGGCTTCTTCTTCTCGCACATGGGCTGGCTCATGTACCGCAAGCACCCGAGCGTCATCGCCCGCGGCAAAGGGCTCGACCTGTCCGACCTGCAGAACGACAAGGTGGTCATGTTCCAGCGCAAGTTCTACCTGCCGCTGGTGGTGACGTCGTGCTTCGTGCTCCCGACGGTGATCCCCTGGTGGTACTGGGACGAGCACCTGGTCAACGCCCTCATGGTGGCGGGCTTCCTGCGCTACACCATCGTGCTGCACATCACCTGGTTCGTGAACTCGCTGGCGCACTGGGTGGGCACCAAGCCCTACGACAAGAGCATCTACCCGTCGCAGAACCCGATGGTGGCCTACCTGGCGCTGGGCGAGGGCTGGCACAACTACCACCACGTCTTCCCCTGGGACTACCGCACGGCCGAGCTCGGCGGCCTCGTCAACTACAACATCACCAGCCTCGTCATCGACTTCTGCTACAAGATCGGCCTCGCCTCCGACCTGAGGACCGTCACGCCCGCCATGATCGAGAGACGCATCCAGAGGACGGGCGACGGATCCTACCAGCCGCCCGCGGCCACGGCGAAGTGAACGCCCCCACGCCCACTCGGCCGCCCTGCAACAACAATGCACAACTGCACGACGTCGTCAGCCCTGCCCCGACGCCCCCCCTCCTCCCCGCCCCCGCCCGTGACAGCGCCGGAACATGTCCCAGGGAGCACAGCCGTTTGTAACCGAGTAATTTAGAAGTGGTATTCCAATTTGTACGACACACAACACACACATCTATATATACCGTGTGGAAACAAGTGTTTATACATTAGGTCTTTTTTTTTTGGTATATACACAACACGTAGCAACGAAAGTGCAACCTCTTTGTAAACAAGATAGTCAGGTACACCAAGGCCTTACTTTTGGCACCGCTGCAGAAGGGACAGAAGGAGCACTTTTCCGCAGGCCGAGTTCGCCGTCAATTCCGTAGCCGAGGGCCACCTCTCTCCCGTACTCGCCCGGCCGGTTCTTGCGAGCAAAATAGTAGTTGTAGGCCTCTTCTTGTAACCCGGAATTATTGGGTATCGTTTGATATGTGTGTTGGTTATATATACAAATATATATCTTGAGTGAAACCACCACGATGCTTTTTTTGTGAGAAATGCAACCAGATTTTTTGAGATGTGTCATATAAATATATAGTTTTCTGTCTTACACCTTATCAATGGCTTTCCTACCAACACGTTATCCAAAAAAAAAAGCTTGTAGCGAAAAAAATCAATGAAAATGAGGTGTATCAGCTGTTCCCTTCTCGAGTCTTGGAGGTTTTTTAAAAATGTGACGAAGAGGAACATACGAACGTGAGAGAAAATGGTGCTCATTCAGTAAAACAATAAAAAAACAAACCAAAACAAAGACAAAAAACGCAACGAACTCTCAAAGGATTTGGAGAAGAAAAAAAGGGGAAAATAAGAGAAAAAGGGATCTGTTTGAAATTATTGTTGAGCTCGTATTAGTATGACGCGTGTGCTGTGTTGTATAGTGAAGAGCGAGTAACGAAATCCGGGTTGTGCTGTCGGTATGGCTGACACTCTGCGCTGATAAGGCATATGTGTGTCAGCGGCTAGACTCGCTCGGGGCGATAGTGGTCAGAGACGCGATAGCGGGGCTTCGTTAAGTCTCTGTGGGGCCTCTACACCTCGTCTCTTCTCGTCTCCTCGTCTGTCCCAGTGCTGTGTCTCATCTCTATGAGATTCGGAATCCATTGCACTCACGTCCGGTAATTGACTCTGAGGCTGTTCGTGGTCTGGCTCTTTCTGACATCTGACTGTTCCGGCGGGAGTGGTACAGTGCTCCTCCCGTAGGTGCTACGAGTTGCCTAGGAGAGTCTAGAATCTAGTTAGGATAGATCGATATGTATAGGTATTAGTCTAGTCCTTTTGTCGGAATTGAAAGATCAGATGGTATAGAGGTGTAATAGGTACTTACGCAGGGTGTAGAGGTATGATGTGGGGTAGATATTGACGTTGGTGTAGCTCGGTTAGGTGAGTGAGTCGATGGGCATAAGAGAGGAGGGATGTGGAAGGTGGTCATCATTAGGAATTAGGTGTATTAGTATGGGGGTCTGTCGCGAGTGTTTTGTGAATCGAAGACGAGAGGTTGATATTTGCGATGTAATGGGCTGAGTTAGAGATGATGTATAGTGAGATTCGAGTGGGGATGAGGCCGGAATAGTGTGTTATGTAGTGATAAATGAAGATTAGTAGAAGATGTTGCGCAAGAGTGTGTATGTTTGATTATGGGACTGGGATGATTGTTGGAACGTTATTGAAACGGTCTCTCGTGTCTGGCGGCGACTGTTGAAGAGGCTCTGTATAGAGGTGGGAGGAGCGTAGGAGTTAGGAGCGCGGCTGAGTGCAGGGTGCTGCGAGAGCCTTGCGCGTTGCCTGATCGGACGCGCGTGTTGATGGATGCATATGCGGGGGTAGGCTACTGAGAGTCTCGTCGGGGCTCGTGGTAGTCGTCTCTTCTCGTCTCTCTCTTCGATTCATTAATGGACGTCTCAAGGTCTGAAGAGATTTTCTACTTTATTCAGGGAAAATCGCATAGTTGGAATGCTCAAAACATCTAAGAAAGAGGACAAAGAATAGGACTGTGTTTCATAGAAATATAGACGCTCGCAACAACAAAACAGGGACGCAGCCACAGCAACCGGTAACTTTCTTGTTTATTACACACTTATCGTCCTCTAGCTCTCTATCCCCTTCACAAACAAACTATCTGTCAAGTTAAAGCAAGCATCAACAGACACTAACAGACTTTTCAGGGCAACCTCAGCCACCGCCTTGTAAGACGTTTCAGACTTCCAGGAACGTCTTGAGACTTCTTCGTGCCTTTTCTTTCTCTCGTTCTTTGGCTCGGGAGACTTTTGCACTCAAAAGCAGCGAGGGTGGGCTTTTTGTGGTTTAGGTCTTATAGGGGGAGAAAGATGTGAAAGGTGATGGGTGCTTGTTTTTGGTTTTTCTTTACTCGTTGACCAGGATCGTGCATGGATCGCGTATTGTGGCTGCGTGAGTCTCGTCTAAGAATCTGCTCTTCTCATCCTCGTCTTCTTCCTCGTGCGATTCGGTCAGAAGTTGGAATGTTTTGTCCTTGATGATCCCATGACACGGGTATCACTTGCTTGATGGTTATTGCTTCTCCTTTCTTGTCTTTCTCTTCTTCTGCGTCTCTCGGGGACGGATGGTGTCTCGTGTGGCTCTCCTGCGTCACTCGACCAAACTCTTTCGTCGTTATTCGTTTGTTGTGAGTCTCGGATCGATGATGTTTGACGGTCTCGATCGTTTCGCTCTGCTCTGCTATCTCTCTCTCTTCGTCTACTCTATCTATATAATTATCTATCTTCGTAATCTTCTCTATTTGCTCTATCTATTATCTATCTATGCTCTTATCTATCTATCTATATAGTCCTCTCTCGCCTCTCCTCTATCCTCTTCCTACTACCCTTCTTCCTTCTGTCATTTTCTTATCCTACTTTTCAAAACATACTTTATTATTTCGATAAATTATTGGCGTAACACAGGCTGGTCACGTCCGAAAAACTCATTTTATCGAGGCCTGTGATAAGTTACATTATAAATCGATATGATTATATTATTTTTTTTCGTATATGGAAGTTTTTATTTTAATCTTTAGCCAAGGTTTTTGTGATTTTTTTTATGTTCTTACTTATTTATTTATTTGTCTCATCTCAAAATAGGTGTTAAGCAAGTGTTAAATAACTATCTCCATATTTTTTTTTTTTTTTTTTTTTACTTCTGTGAGTCAAACATTCATGAAGAAGATTTGAGGTCAATGAGGAAGTACTTGCATCATACGCACAAATTACGCAACGTGGACGCAGAATAAGGAGACAAATAAATGATTATTATTTAACGCAAAACATAAACATGATGAGAACGGTTATTGATAGAAATTTGGCCTGAAACGCAGCGCTCTGGATAACACACACACACACACACACACACACACACACACACACACACACACACACACACACACACACACACACACACACGCACACTTTAAAACAACAATAACTCCTGTTTCCATTACCGCTTAATACATACTAACACACGTGATATTTTTGTTCATATTAAGGAACACCGATTTATGTTGGTATTGACTGTATTTTCCATATGTGGTTCGAGGCCATGTGGCTTGTCACTCCCTTCTGTCACATTGTCATGCAACTCAACCTCATTTTCCTAATTCCTTTCTCACGTGACAGTATTTCAAGTTTTTTTTTTTTTCTTTTCCTTTTTTTTATGACAAGCTGTTGCTGTTACTCTCTGATTCTTGGCATATTAATGGTCCCATGTGTATTAAGGATCAGCATTTGTTTCTATCTATGTTTTAGTTAGTTTTGATAGGATAGCTGGGCTGATATATATATATATATATATATATATATATATATATATATATATATATATATATATATATATATATATATATGCATATACACACACATACACACAAATGCATAATGTCTCGATATATATCTCCTATTATTAGCCTGTAATTATCTTTTTTTTATTCCCACTGCATCAAATGCTAGACATTTGCAACTGAGCAGATGATTAGTCTTGGACAAGTAAGATTAATTGCAACTTGACATTGCTTACTTCTTAGTTATTGTGTTTTGTTTGTTTCAATGAATCATTCAAGTTTCTTCTTGTACAGCGAATGATTCGGGAAAACGAAGGAATAGAGTCTAAGGGACGATGTCAGCAAGTTATTTATTACTCTTGATGTGAGGTTTTGTAATCCCGAAGGGATATATCTATATGAATATATGAATAGAGATAAAGACTATATAAGCCTATATCTTCAGTGTGTTGTTCTTTAAGACTAAGTCGCTTTTGGCAGTTGTTCTGTCGAGATTTTTATTTTCATTTTTTGTTGTTGGAAAAAAAAGGGTTTTAAAACCTGGGATCCTTTTGAAGGAGAACATTTACTCTCTGAATGTGTTTTAACTTATTTTCTCTTTTGTGTAGAATTTTGACATTTGCCGGTGATGTTAATCGCGAGCATTTTGATAAAGGAGACTGGATTGGACTTAGGCTGGGGCGATTCAAGTAAAATGTCTTCACTCCAAAGGTAGAATTCAAATGCTGAAATATATAAGAATCAAACACACTTGAGATGTATTTTCTTATGACCTTATATCGAAATGTGTGAAGCCTCTATCTATATCTGTGTGATTTGGGTTCCCATTTTGTTTTATGCTGAAAAAAAAAAACATTTGTGTAAAGAACGGAATTATGATGATAATAAATGCGTCAAACAAAACATAAGATTGTGATAACCTTAGATGGAATATTTGCAACAATGAAAAAAGTAAAAAAAAATAAATAAATAAATGAGAATATTGTATATGTATTAGTCATGAGCGTATATTTTTCTTTATATATTTCATGAATTCTACATGAATATGGATTATAATGGAGTATTTTCAGAAGTAGACACAAAAGCACACACGAATACTCAAAAGTTCATATAAAAATACATTAAAAAACATAAAACGTCCCAAACATGATAAACACACACGCACATATAAAGAAAAAACTGTACACATCCATCTAATATCTATGCGTCCACACATACACGTACATACTCATACACACATGTTATCAATATTCCTTCTAAACACCATTTTAATCGGCGATTTAGTAATTATAAACTTAATTAATTGCACTTGGCTATTCTACTCTTCATTATCTCTTCAGTTATCCTTATATTTCATGTGCGTTTGTAAGTAAGAGTCGGTGTGCGTATGTGTGCGTTTTTACCATGTGCTTTGATTGCGTGTGTATTCATTTTCTTTGTGTAGGTGTAATGCAAAAAAAAAAGAAAAAGAAAAAAAATGTAAAGGAAACTAATGCTAGGTCAAGTCAGTTCGATTTGACCTGACCTTTCTCGGACTTCCTCTCTCGCGGTTGACCTCTGACCGAGTGGGCGCGAGAGAGGGATTCGCGAATCGTATGCTTTTTATATTGTCAAGAAGATCAGTATTTTTTTCCTCCTCCTTCTTCCCTCCAGAAGTGTCGATGTTGCAATGAAACCTCTTTGTATCAGAAAAAAAAAAATCTGACGCTTGTGTGTGGAAAAATATATATATATATATATTTCCCGCTGATTCTATTATGTGCTGTGTAACGCCCCTCCCTCCACCCCCCCACATCCCACCCCCCATTCTTCCCCCATTAACCCCTCCTTAACCCCTCCCCCATTCCTTAACCACATCAGTATCTTTAACTGTGTTTTACTTGTTCTCTCATAGTTCTGTTATAGGGAAAAAAAAATAAAAAAAAATTACAAAGATATGAACAAGAAAGAAACCTTCTGTGATATGTGCCACAA